GGCGCCGCGTTGGGTGAGTGTGGGGCGCCCCGGAACCCGAGGCGGACGAGGCCAGGCCAGCGCCGGCACCGGGTCCTTCCCGCCTCTTTCAGGGGAGATGCTGATCCCGCACTACTCTGGCCGCGTCGTCGACATCCTGGGGGGTGATTTCGACCCCGATGCCTTTGCCAGCGCCATCTTCCTCATGTGCCTGTTCTCCGTTGGGAGGTAGGTGAGGCCAGGTGGGGCCCTTCGTGAGCCCGGCTCCTTAGCGGAGCGGAGCCCTGGCTTCCCAAGTCTGCTCCACACACCTTTGGGCAGGAAGCGCAAGACACCTAAAAGGAGGGTGTCTGTGCTTATGTAGTGCTTATTCGGTTCTACCCGTCCATTCGTTTCTCTGTTCACACTTATCCAGCATCCCAAAGCTCTTATTACATTACTACGGGCGCCTGTTTTCTGGAGTTTATGTTACTCAGTTACGAATCTGGCCGGTGTCACGCAGGAGTCCGTGTCAAATACAGTGGCTTTCAGTCGCCTCTCTTTCTAGCTCCATGAACCCGTTTCTCTGCAGCCTCCCAGCCCCAGGCCTCTCTCCCGCCTCTCTGCAGGGTCCCCTCCTGGCAGGGTGGCCTCTCCCCGACCTCTTCCTTTCTCTCTCTGAAGCTCTCACTTGGAGGTTACCAGGTTCTTTCTAGCAACTTTACTCTTCTCCTTCCTTTGCCTGCCCTCCTTTTAGCCCTCCTGGAAACAGGATGGGGTGAGCACAGCAGTTGAGGTGCAGGGTCTCCGGAGGCCCCCAGTCCCCTGCCCTCAGCCCGGCCCGGCTCCATGCTGCGCCTTTTCATGGGCCGTCTTTCATTTTGAATATCCTCAGAAACCAGAGCCTGTGATCTTGGGGCTCTGGGAAGCTGAGGCAGGATGACCACAAGTTAGAGCCCAGCCTGGGCAGTCTAGTGACTTGGGCAGACCCTGTGAGGGGGGAAAACGTAAAAAGGGGCAAAAGTTGTATCTCAGAGGGTTTAGCTGCAGCACTGCAAACAGAAAACAAAACTAAACAAAAACCAGGGCCTCGCTGTGCCTGTTCTGCACCTGCGTCTTCCCATTGAGACGCACTACTCAAATATGAACTTCTGACCCATCAACCCACTGCTGCTGCTTTTATTCCTCCCCGGGTGAGGCCGCAGTTCTCTTTGGCTTTTCTGTAGCATTTGGCTCTTTCCTTTATTGATCGTTTAGCTTTATGACCCTTTTTCTATTTTTCTCATCTGCTCAGCTTCCTTGAGAGAGCTTCCCTCCTTTGGACCCTTAACTCTGGCCTTTCTGACTCAGTTTTGCTTTAATCTTTAAGAGCATTTCCCACTGACCTAGCTCAGCTCCGCCCTGTGGCCGATCCCCAGACTCACGTTCCCACTGAGCCCCTGCCCTGCGATCCCAGTCGCCCCTCGGGGTTCCTGTCACGCAGCGCTCTCTGACCTCACGTTCCCATGCCGACTGCAATCCGTCTCACCCCGTCCTGGTCTGCCTGAAAGAGACGCGCTCTTACTCTGATTCCCGAAGCCCTCCGTATCACAGGCTTTGAGTATCAGCACCGTTGATGTCTTCCCAGCTCAGACACCAGCCCTGCCATGTCCTGCTGTGCGCGGGTCCTTTCTCTCCATTCTACCGTGAGCGCCAGAGTCCAAACCCTTACGAGTTCGTGCATGGTTATCCCAAACGACTTCTAAGTATGCTAACTCAGTTTGCCTTAGAATCTCATATTATGCAAAGTGATGCCTCATGCTTTTTCTATTTTTACCTTTGAGTTTTATTGTGAAACCTTGGTTTATCCAGGACAAGTTCTCCGAGGATGGGAGGAGGGTCAGTAAGACTCTAGGGCTCTAGAGAGTGGGAGGTCAGGGAGATTTTTGCCGAGGTCCCCACAGTGAAGTATCTGTGACTGTGAAAGAGGGGTTTGATGCCGGGAGGAAAAGACCAAGGCGGAGGAGAGGCCCAAAGGGACACCGCATGGGAGCCAGGCCGGAGCGAGCCCTGGGCCATTCCTTCTCCCCGTGTCTGTCACGTAGCGAACCCCGCGAGTACTTGTGCATTTTTGCCTGTGGTCAGTTGGTTCCCACAGCCGGTCAGGTGTCCACCGTTTCTGCTCTGCAGCCCCGCCTCCCTTCCCTTTATTCGTGGTCTGCGTGCTCTGCTTCTGCATCTCCTTTAACTCTGGCTCCCTCCTCTGCTTCTCTTACCTCTGCCTTCGCTGTATCTCGCTCTCCCCTCACCTCCTCCGTGCTCCTCCGGCCTGCAGCTCACTGTCCGGAGGCTGCCGAGGAGGCTTGTTTACCCTCATCATGTCCAGAATCAACCTGAGGATCCGTGAGAAGCTTTTCTCCTCCCTGCTGCGTCAGGACCTCGGCTTCTTCCAGGAGACGAAGACAGGTGGGGCCTGGAGTCCGGGTCAGGGCTTCCCCGCCTCCTTGTCCCTCCGTTACCCGCCCATGCGCCGGGCCTCCCTGGGACAGAGGACGAAGCGTCCGCAGCTCTGCCGGTGGCGGAGACCTAGGGGCCTCTGCGGTGCGGCGTGTGACGGCCTCACCCGCTCTGTCCCCCAGGGGAGCTGCACTCGCGGCTGAGCTCGGACACCACCCTCATGAGCTCCTGGCTTCCTTTAAACGCCAACGTCTTCCTCCGGAGCCTGGTGAAAGCGTTGGGGCTGTACAGCTTCATGTTCAGCGTGTCGCCGCGCCTCACCCTGCTGTCTCTGCTCCACCTGCCCATGAAGCTGACCGCTGATAAGGTGTACAGCGCCCGCCGGCAGGTGTGTGTGGGGAGCGTACCACTGAGGGGCAAGGAGGCCTCTCAGACGCCTTAGAGGGGCTCTTCCCCGTCAGCCCTTAGAGGATACTGTGTGCTGGTGCCACATTCTGCTCGTTCTGTCGTCTTTCGAGGGACACGGAGCTCTGTGACCCCCTGGCGCTGTGACGTGTGTGTGTGTGTGTAAGAGGGGGCATTTTCCTGGGGAGACGATATCTTTCACGAGCTGCTCAAAGGAGTCCGTACATACCCTCCTTACAAAAATCAGGTTCTTTCCTTTAAAATCAGCAGAAGGAGTTTGGCCGGAGTGTAGCGGAGGGAGGAAGTGCGTTGGGAATCTCGGGTCTGAGTGTCTGCTAAACTGTGGCTCTTTCTCTCTTGTGCTGGTCTCTTGGCCGCTCAGACCAGTGTTAGGTGCACAGTCTGGCGGCAGTGGGCACCACCTCGTGGCTGTGCACCCCGCTGCGGTCTCTCTTCGGAACTGCTCCTTCCGGAGGTGAAACGCTGCCCCGGGAAAGCCTGCCCCGCTCCCCTCACTTTAGCCGCCTCCCCACTTTCTTCTCAGTGACCTTGGTCACTCCGGGGGCCGCGCCTCAGTGGACTCTTGCGGTTTTTGTCTTACTGACTGGCGCAGTGCACTGGCAGAAGGTCTTCAAGGTGCGCCCTGTTGTAGTACGGGTCAGGGTTTGCGCCCCTCTCCAGGCAGAAGGATTGGCGTGTAGACCACGTTCTGCTGGCCGAGCCGTCGGCGGATGGACGTGTGGGAGGTGCCCGGTTCTTGGCTGCGGGGAACAGGGCTGCTCGTGGATGTACAAACACCTGCCCGGACCTTGCTTTCAGTTCTGGGTGTATTCTGAGGAGTAATTGCTGGGTAACGTGGTAATTCTATTCTCTGTATTTTGAGGAACTGCTCTATTATTTTCCAGAGCAGCTTCTGCAGTTAGTTTGCACCAGCAATGCAGGAGGTCTCCAATTTCTTCACACTCCTGTCACCACTTACTATTGTTTGCTGTTTTTCAGAAATAATAGCTGCTCCAATGCTTGCGATGCAGTTTGTGTGGTTCTGACTGCATTTCCCGATAATCAGTGATGCTGTGTTTGTTGGACACCTTTTTTCAGGGCTGGGAATTGAACCCAGGGCCATGTGCCGGGCAAGAACTCTGCCACTGGGCTGCCCCACGACCCCTTTTGGGACATCTTTATTTTACTGAATTTTATTTTGTTTTATTTTACCCCATTCCTCTCTCAAGTCCCCTCCCTGTGTACAAAAGCTTTGATTCCATTTTTCCTTCTATTTTCACTTTTTTTTCCTTGTCCCTTCCTCTCTCCCTGCCTCCTCCCTTGGTCCCCTTCCCATCTGAACACTTTCTTCCCACTTCCCGAATCCATTGTACATCTCAGTCCTTATAGTCACAGGATGTTTTTATTTATTTGGACAAATGTCTACTCAATTTCCTTGGCCATTTTTAAATTAGGGCTTTTTTTTTTTTGGTTAATGTTGAATTGTAGGCATCCTTGATATCTTTGGATATTAATTCCTTATCAGACATAATTTAAAAATGTTTTCTCGCATTTTGTGGAGGTCTTTTTGCTGTTGATAGGACGGTGATGGCCCAAAACTTAATTTTGATGAAGTCCGGTTTATCTGTCCCTTATTGCCTACATATATTTTTTATCGCCTATATTTTTGGTACACCTAAGAAATCGTTGACTGGTCTAGCAGTCTCACGAAGCTTTTCTTCGGTGAGGTTTTCGGTGCGTTTTCAGTTCCCTCAGGAAGCTCCCACTTCCTCCTCACCAGACAGTGGGGGTGGAAGAGCTACCTTACGTGAAGGTTAGAAAAGGAGCATTTGTTTCCTACACTGCTAGCGACCTGACGCTGTATTGGTCCAGCCCTCCCCGCTGCTCTTTTCTTCCCGGTGAGCGGAGTGAGAGCGACCGGAGAGCAGCGGGATGCGCTTGGGGGAGCGGGGGCCCCGAGGGCTGCAGTGAGACGGGACATCCGTCCGCCGCCCCACTCTTGCAGGCCTTGCTTCTGGAGATCCAGGACGCAGTGGCGAAGGCAGGGCAGGTGGTGCGGGAGGCGGTTGGAGGGCTGCAGACCGTGCGCAGTTTCGGGGCGGAGGAGCTGGAGGTCTGGCGCTACAAGGAGGCCCTGGAGCGGTGCCGGCAGCTGTGGTGGCGTCGAGACCTGGAAAAGGGCCTGTACGACCTGGTCGGGAAGGTGAGACGGCCACGTGTTGGGGAGGTGGCGGGGGGAGGGGCGGGGACGGGAGGCCGCCCTCAGCCTCGCCTCTTCCTCTCCTCTCCCAGCTGCTGCACCTGGGCGCGCAGGTGCTGATGCTGCACAGTGGGCTGCAGCAGATCGAGGCCGGCGAGATCACCCGCGGCGCGCTGCTGTCCTTTCTGCTCTACCAGGAGGACGTGGGGCACCATGTGCACGTGAGTGGGGAGCCTTGCTCGCTCCTGCCTTTACCCTCGCTGTCTCTGGGTCTCGGGCTTTATTTATTCCCCTTGAAAAAATACAGAACAGAACGTAAGGCTCGAACTAATTCTGTAATGTAATTTCAAACATATTAAAAAACCAGACAAAACAGATATCAGAACCCGCACGTACCCAGCACCCGCATGAGCAGTGGTCACCTCATGCCTAACCTGTTTGATCTGTGCCCTCACTTCTCGCCAGTATTATTATTATTTTTTGTTTTGTTTTGTGTTTTTTTTTTTTTGAGACAGGGTCTCACCATGTACTCGAGGCAGGTGGTGGAACCATTGAGCCAAATCCCCGGCCCCATAGTTGAGACTGACCTGGAACTCACTATGTAGCCCAGGCTGGTCTCTTAACTCACAGCAATCCTCCTGCCTCAGCCTCCCAAGTGCTGGGATTACAGGCGTGCACCACCACGCCTGGCTAACACCAGTATTATTTCAATTCAAATTTAAGATATGTAACTCAAGAGTATATAATATCTGTAAAATAAAAGCATCTAGAATAACGCATAACCTCATAGTCATTATAACTTCTAAAAATTGGCAACAATTCCTAAAATTGACCAAATGCAGTCATTGGTCAATTTTCTACCTGTTTTATGTGGTGCAGTAGCTCACATCAGGATCCAGATAAGGTCCACTCGTTATGATTTGCTGATACATCTTTTAAGACTCTGTCTAAAATTTTCTTCTTATATTTATTTGGTGAGGAAATAGGCTGTTTGTCCTGTAGCATTTTTGTCCTGTTGGATTTCTTTGATTGAATGCTTGTGGTATTAATATGTTCCTCTGCCTCTAGAATATTTCCATTGGTAGATAAATCTAGTAGTTTGTGAGGTTCCAGTTTTTAAAAAAATTTAATTTATTGGCACATTCTAGGTCGACAGTACAGTTACATTCATTACTGGGATCTTGGACCTTTACATGCCAGGTCTTGGTTCTCATTTTTTCCCCCTGTCCCCACCCTCCCTTCACCCTCCCTTCCCCTCCCCCCTCCAAACACTTTAATTTCATTTTTACATTTTCTCATATTTTTTTCCTTTTCCCTTGTTCCCCCTTCCCTATCCTTCTTACTGTCCCTACACCTTTGGTCCTTTTCTTCCTATTTGCTA